TGGTGGGCGCCGGGCTGGGCGGCTCGGCCGTCGCCTACTTCCTGCAGCAGCACTTCGGGCCGCAGGTGCAGCTAGACGTGTACGAGCCGGTGGGCGTGGGTGGCCGGCTGGCCACCGTCACCGTCAACAAGCAGCAGTACGAGAGCAGGGGAGCCTCCATCCATGCCCTCAGCCTCCACATGCAGGACTTCGTCAAGATCCTTGGTGAGTGTGGGCACCCCAGCGCTTGCATGGCCTCCATCCCTGAGGCGGGGGGCTGCACCGTGGGGTCGTAGGGAGGGCTGCTTCCAGTCCACCCCGGCACCCCGGGCATGCAGTGACCTCCTTGCTGTCCCTGTGCCCCAGCCCTGTCAGGCCCTGGAAGAGAAAGGGATGGGGCGGCCCAGCAGAGCATCAGGGCGAGGGGTCCTGGTGGAATTAGTGCATGGGAGGGGGCTCACAAAATCCCACCAGTTTGTCCCAGCCAGCAGCATGTCAACTCCACAGCATGCCCCAACATACAGGGTCTGGCTGGGGTCCCAGTGCCCTGGGGTCTCACACTCCCTGATGCTCTTCCAAGAACATCTTTGCCCACATCCCTGCTGCGGCGGCATTTGGTGCTGGCCTTTCCCAGCAGCCAGCCAGCCCCAGGGAGGCGTGCCAGCCCGGCGGGGCTGGGGCCCCTCTGCTCCCTGCAGGCCTCAAGCACCGGCGCGAGGTGGCAGGGAAGAGCGCCATATTCAGCGGGGAGCACTTTGTCCTGGAGGAGACCGACTGGTACCTGCTCAACCTCTTCCGGCTCTGGTGGCACTATGGCATCAGCTTCCTGCGCCTGCAGATGTGGGTGGAGGAGGTGATGGAGAAGTTCATGAGGTAGGAGAGCCTGCGGGGCTGGGGGGATGCAGGGGGTCTTCCCTGGCACCGGAGTGTCACCAGGCACCCTGTGCTCCTGTCCCCTCCAGGATCTACAAGTACCAGGCGCACGGCTACGCCTTCTCCAGCCTGGAGGAGCTGCTGCGCTCGCTGGGGGGTGACACCTTCGTCAACATGACGCAGCGCTCAGTGGCCGAGTCCTTGCTGGAGGTGGGCGTCACGCAGCGCTTCGTGGATGATGTCATTGCGGCCGTCCTGCGCTCCAGCTACGGGCAGTCGGTGCTGGTGCCCGCCTTCGCAGGTGAAACCAGGGACCCCCTCTCCTCCCCGTCTGACTCTCCTTCCCAGCGTCCCCTCCATGGGCAGGCTCTTGAGCCACCCTCCTCTTCCTCTCCCCAGGAGCCATGTCACTGGCGGGGGCCCAAGGCAGCACCTGGGCGGTGGAAGGAGGCAACAAGCTGGTGTGTTCAGGTCTGCTGAAGCTGACCAAAGCCAATGTCATCCCGGCCAGGGTGACGGGCGTCTCTCTGCACAGCTCGGGTGAGCCTGGGCACAGAGTGTGCTCTGGGTGCCGCCGGCCTGGGCGTGGGTCGGGGTGCTACAGGGTAGGAGGTTGGTGGTGGCAGCAAGGGGATGCTGGGGCAAAGAGAGGGCGTTGGGAGGCTGGAGAGCGTCCTGGTCCTGGTAAAGCATTTGGGCGAGGGCCTGGGGGTCTGACCATCTCCTCCCCTTCTCTGATCTGGTGGGGGCCCTGCAGTACAGACCTCTGCCCTGAGGTTCCCCTCTCTCCCTCCTGAGGTCCCTCAGGTCTCTTCTATGGCACCATCCTTGTTGCAGGCTTGCTCCCCCATCCAGCACAGCAGGAGGGCTGGATAGCTGGGGTTTGGGGAGTGGGCTGTGCTGCCCCAGTCCTCCTTGCCCGGCTAGGCTGGGCTTCTCTGGAAACTCTCCCATAGGCTTGATAAAATCTTCTTTCCGCTGCCTTAAAGCATCAGCAACTCATCCATAACCATCAGATGCTATGGTCCAGCACTGGTGTGTACTGGAAAACCAGGGGATGGAGGCCATGCTAGAAAAAAGGGGGCCAGGGCAATACCACCTGGGGCTCAGGGCTACTCCTAGCTGTCCACCATCTCTTTTCAGAGGGGAGAGCCCTGTACCAGGTGCACTACGAGGGCAGTGAAGGCCAGGGCTCAGCTTTCTACGACATGGTGGTTGTGACGACTCCCCTGCACCCCAGCAGGAGCAACTTCACCTTTGAGAACTTCGAGCCGCCCATCGCCGACTTCCCCGGAGCCTTCCAGCCCTCCGTCACCTCCGTGGTGCACGGCTACCTCAACTCCTCCTACTTTGGCTTCCCTGACCCCAAGCTCTTCCCCTTTGCTAGCATCCTCACCACTGACACCCCCGACCTCTTCTTCAATACCATGGACAACATCTGTCCTGTGAACATCTCAGCAGCTTTCCGTCGCAAGCAGCCCCAGGAGGCCGCGGTGTGGCGAGTCCTCTCCCAGCAGCCACTGGACAAGCAGCAGCTGAAGACCCTTTTCAGGTCCTACTACTCGGTGCAGGTGACAGAGTGGCAGGCATATCCCCGCTACGATGCTGCCAAGTCCCTCCCGCCCATCGTGCTCCACGAAAACCTCTTCTACCTCAGCAGCGTGGAGTGGGTGGCCAGCTCCATGGAGATGATAGCGGTGGCGGCCAAAAATGTGGCCCTGCTGGCTTACAACCGCTGGTATCAGGACCTGGAGAAAATCGACCAGAAGGACTTGATGCACAAGGTGAAGACCGAGCTGTGACGGCCAGGGGAGGCAGTGGGCCTCTGCGTGTAGTAGCCTGGGGAGTATTTATTGCCTTGGGACACCGGGGGGGTTGGGGCTGGGGGAGAGGGGACAGGCTGTGTCCCAGATGACTTGAACGTGCTTCACCTTCAGGAATACAGTCCCTGCCCAGTGTTGCTGCGTGTCTGTGCCGTGTGCCTCAGTTTCCCTGTTTCCCTTCCCCAGGCTCTGCTGGAAGGAGCCTATGCGTTTTCCTATGAAAAAAGGTCGCTGCGCATCTGTTTTTTGGAGGGACCTAGGGGGGTTTTCAAGGACAAGGCTGGCTGGCATCGGCAGCAGATGGGTGCTGGCCCTAGGCAGGAATAGGGTCCTGCCCCCTGGCAAGCTGCCTGGCTCCCGCTGTGCCTCTCCCACCTTCCTGGCTTTGCCCCCAGGAAACTCAGTGGCAGGGCTGGCCCTGCTTGAGGCAGGAGGTCCCGTGGCCTCTCCCGTGCTGTGCGTGCATGGAGCCTAGCCCCGCTCACTGGCCTGGCACCCCGGGGATGGGCATACAGGGTGGGCTGTTGCAGGTCCTAGCTTGCAGGGAGAGGTGCCTGCTGCCCGGTGCTCCCTGCTTCCAGGGGTGTCCAGGCTTCCCTGAGCCTGGGGCTCAGCTGTGTTTTGGGGGGCAGAAGACCCTTGCTGGGAGAAGGCTGAGTAGCACCCACCCCTGGGCGGGCAGGGGTGGAGGGGCAGCGCGACAAGCCGAGGCAGGGGGTGGCTCAGATGGGGGCCAGCAATGCGCTTTATTGAGGACCTCAGAAGCCACCCAAACCACCCTCTACTTCCCCCGCTCCCTGGGCTGCCTGGCCCAGTGCAGAGCAGCTTGTGGGAGGGCTGGGGAGGACCGGGCACTCCCGGAGCTGTTGCACTGGTGGAGAGAACAAGGCAAACAGGGACTTTGGGGAGGGAGGAGGCGTGATCCTGCCCAGCTGGAAGGACCGGGGGGGCAGCTGCCTCCCTCTCTCCCCCAGCCCACTCTGCTGGGCCCCTCCCTGGAGGTGAGGGGGCTTGGGGCGGTGTCTCGCTGTGAGGCCAGCTGCAGGACTGCATAGCTGGGTGACTTGCAGGGGCTGCCCCCATGCTGGGTGTCCCCAAAGTGGCTGCTTGGGCTGAGGCTGATGGAGTCTGCAGGGGAATTTCTGGGAGCTCTTGGAGCTGCCATCACCTTGTGCAAGGGCTCTCTTCACCCTGACGCTCAGCTGGGTGACCCTCTCCCAGAGGGCTGGGCAAGCTCGGGAAGCAAGAGCAAGCTGGTTAGATGCCCATGCGTGACTGCAGGGGTTAGCTCTGCAACTTCAGAAGATGCAGGTGCAGCCCACAGCGATGGTCTCCATGACCGTCTGGTACTTCTTGTGACACTTCTTCCCAGAGGGCTTGTGTCCCACCTCGCCCGGCACCTGGCAGAGCAGCCGGCGGACAGGCAGCCGGCTGTAGATTGGAATGCTGGCCATGGTACGGTCCTCCTGCATGGTGAAGGGGTTGATGCAGCCGGTGCAGAGGCATCGGGCCTCGGGCATGTCTGCTGGGATCCGCGTTGCATCATGGTTTATGCTGGAGGAGAGGGAAAGCAAGACAAGGCTGGAGAGATGGTGAGATGGGGGGCAGTGGGTGGCTGGGGATGGGCAGGGCAATGCCTCTGTGGGGTGAAATGAGGCGCTGCGTCACACCGTACCCCCCAGCAGCTACTGCAGCCCCATGATGCTGGAGTCGTGGCCGCCGCAGCGCCTGCTGGCACAGAGCCACCATACATATCCCCGAGGTCCCTGCCCCAAGCTCACCTGTAGGCCCAGGGGGACAAGCTCCTCCGGTTGGACCTCCAGAGCCTCAGGTTGACCTGGCACTTGGTGTCTCCCAGCTCAGAGCTGTTCCTCAGTTGGCGCACCATGTCCTGGATGCTGTGCTCGTAGTCTGCCATGGAGGTGTAAGAGTCGTCCAGGGCCCAGGCCAGGGCAGGGGTGGCTGTGGGCGGCCGCACAGGGCCCCTTCTCCTCCCCTTCGCTGCCTTGCTTTGGTCCTTCGCTTCAGGGACCAGGACCATGGCAAAGGTGAAGATGCAGAGGAGAAGCTGAGGAGGAAGGAGGATGGTGCGTGGCTGCCCAGGCTGCAGGGCTGGCGTGGAAGGGGAGCTCTCCCACCTCCCATGGGACACTGGGTGATGGCAGGACCACACTGACTTTGGGGTGGCACATGCAACCCCCAAAGGGCAACACTGGCCTGTGAGCGAGACCCATGGACACACATGAGGGCAGTTTGCAGGGGTGGTGGGTACACAGTCGTGGTGAGCCCCTAGCCTGAGCCCCAGCTGATGTGCGTGACTGCAAAGCCCCTTGCCTTGGTTGCAGCTGGCAATTTGTGTTGCCCAAAGTGCCCCTGCCCACGCTCCCAGAGCTGTGCCCAGCTCCTTCTCTACCCCAAGGTGGCTACATGCTGGGAGGGATGGGTGCACCCTCAGCTCAGGCTGTACCTGGGCAGCCTCTGGTTTAAAAGAAGCTTTAGAGATGAGACAGTCAATAATGCGATCTTTATCCAAACCCTCCTCTCCCTCCCTGTGTGCTCCGGGGACAGTGAGAGAGAAAGAAAGATGCTTTTTCCTTTCCTTCTCCCTCTGGCCTCGCGGGGCTGAGCTCCCGTGTGCTGGCACCCGGCAGGCTGCCCAGCAGCGAACAAAGTTGCTTTCTGTAGTCCTGCTCCCTGCTATTCGTGTCCCTGCAGCCAGCCGCAGGCGGCCCCGCACCCTGCCCGCTGTCCCGCCTGCCTTCCTGCAGCCCTTCCTATGGGTGTGCGGTGCCCCAGGGCAGGGACCGCTCGGCCAGGGCTGTTTTCCCCCTGGGGTGCTGGACTGTCCGGTCAGACTGTCACAGCTTTGCTCTCCGAGGCTGTTGCATCCTCGCCATGCCAGGCGTGGGAGCGATGGGCCTGGCAGGCCACAGCATGCATCTCCAATGAAAACAAACCCAGGTAGCCACCCGTAAACAAGCGTGCAAATAATTATATTAAAGAAAGAAAACAAGGAGCGAGCCCTGAGCTGCCGTGCAGTCACCTACCAGGTTTGGAGCCCGCTCCATCGCTGTGGAGGGGCTGCCGGCTGCCGTCCTGCAGTGTGGCTGGCACTGGCGAGCAGGGAGCTAAAAAGGGAAAGCCTCAGCCCCCGGCTCCACTCCGCCGGAGGTGTGTCCGGTCCCCAAGGTGCCAGGGAGCCTCGGCGCCGGCAGGGCGGGGGGCCAGCGTGGTCTGGGACTCAGCCACCCGCCACCTCCCCGGGCAC